AACCAGACCGGTGCGCCACGTCTTCACAGCGAGAGGTGTGAAGAGCCGCTGTGTTCACAGGTCTTGAACCAGACCGGTGCGCCGGTGCGTGTGTCCATCGACCGCGTCGCCGCCAACGCCACCGCCGCCTCCGCCTCCGCCGCCTCTGCCTCCGCGGCTCTCCCCGTGCTCACCGTCGCGAATGGCGCCGAGCTGACCTTGCCGGCCACGCGGGCGGCGCGGGCGAAGGAGGCGCAAGAGCGGCGTCTCTTCACACCGACTGCTGTGAACAGGTCACGCTCGTGGCGCGGGCGAAGAAGGAGGCGGCGAGGGGGAGGGGGTTCGGCGGCGGCTCCTCACGCGGAGCCGGAGGCGACGGAGGGGGGGGAGGCGGGGGAGGCGGAGGGGGGGGAGGGGGGCGGAGCGGTCTGCGCGGGATGGGGGGGATGGGCGGCGCGTTCGGCTTGCTCGACTCGGCGCAACGCGCTCTCGCGCTGCCGCTCGGCGGGAGCGGCGGCGGCGCCGACTCGCTCTCCCCTGCGCCGGCGGCAGCGGCGGGGGGACTGGCGGCCGGAGGGGGCGGTGGCGGGGCGGGCGGAGGGGCGGCGGGCGGCGGGTGGGGCGAGGGGGGCGGCGAGGCGGCGCCGCTGGTCGTGCCGCGCACGCTGTCGCTCCTGTCTGAGCTGTGGCGCGGCGAGCTGCAGGGCGTGCGTTTCGACCACGTCGGCCGCGCTGTGCAGGAGAGTGATCTCGGGTACTCTCGGGTGATCTCCGGTGATATCGTACTCTCGGGTACTCTCGGGGAATCTCGGGTCCTCTCGGGTACTCTCGGGTCCTCTCGGGTCCTCTCGGCTCCTCTCGGGTACTCTCACGTACTCCGTGCTGTGCAGGAGGTGCGCGCGCCGCTGCCGGGGGACCCGTTCCACAAGGCGCGCCTCTCGTGCGAGGTTGTGATGAGATTGCCCGAGATTACCCGAGATGACGCGAGATTGCTTCCACAAGGCGCGCCTCTCGTGCGAGGTTGTGATGCACAAGGGCGGCGCAAACAAGCTGGTCCTCGACTCGCTGCTGCACGTGCGCAACGAGACGCGCCTCCCGCTGGTGAGCTCACTATAGCTAGAGCTCGCACTAGAGGCCGTCATCGCATTCGCCTTCCTGGGACCCGGTGCTGCCTTCTGACTGTCGATGCTGTCTCTCTCCTTTCTCGACTGTCCGAGCTTGTGCGTCTTGGGTCCGGGGTTGTGTTTTTGTGTGAGGCGCTGGCGGGACGTGCGACCTTGACACGCGGGGCTCAGCTCAGAGCGAGACCGGCTCGACCCACCAGGTGATGCGCTGGCTCGACGTCGACCCGGACACGCGCCGCGTCGACTCGGCGGAGGTGCCGCGCAGCCAAGCTCCGGCAGACCGGCATGAGGCCCGGTTCTCAATCTCCACACCCCCTGCTTCATCAGGCGCCGCGCAACAAGCTCTGGCAGACAGATATGACGCTGGCGCCGGAGTCGTCGCGGCGCGCGCCGCTGCGGCTCGCGCACTCGGGATGGGACGGATCGTGACCCCAGCTCCGACCCCTCGCCAGGCCCGTGCCGCTGCAGCTGGCGCACCTGGAGCACTTTGCAGTCCGGCTCAACCAGCGCGGCGCGGGCTGGTCGCCGGCCGTGGCGGTCGAGGCGCTGTGGGACGACTCGGGCGGCCTCGTCACCTGCCCGCCGATCGGCCCCGACCCGGTCGGCCAGCAGACGCCCCGCCGCGGCGGCCGCGCGCCCGGCTCGCTCTCGCTCGGCGGTACGGGGGGCGGCGTGGGCGGGGCGCGGGAGCCGCTGCTGGCCTCTGGCCTCGCGCCCGTCGGGGCGGCGAAGTACCACCTGGTCCTGTCTGTCGAGACGGACGCCAAGAAGGAGCGCGCCGCCCGCACCGCCCCGGGGGGGGGGGGGGGGGGGGGGGCCCCCCTGGGAACGGACCCTTTTTAAACGCACCCCCCCTTTAAAAAAGAAAACCCCCCCCCCCAAGAAAAAGCCCCGGTTCGGGGCCTCTCCTCCCGGGGAGGTGGGGAGGGGGCCTCTTTACACCTTCAGCCGTGAAAAGGGGCTGCTCCACCGGACTTTCCCCTTTTAAAAGGCGCTGTTCACACCTGCCGCCCTGAAAAGGGGCTGCTCTCCGGGACTTTCCCCTTTGAAAAAGGCCTTTTCCCCC